CCTATTTATAGATTTGACATGTTTTAATTCAAGTATAAAGCGACATGTTGATAAATATAAATACAGGAGTAATAAAGTGTCATAGTAAAAAAAAATGATTTTTTTTTGTAGTTATATTGTATATCTAATATGATATTTTTTTGCGATTTTAAATGTCATATTGGTATAAGTTTTTAAATAATATTTGTATCTATATATAACGTAGCAACAATATTTTCTCTATTGCTTACCATATTTTATTATGAATTTATACAGTGGACGTTATACGAAAGCCGTTGGTTCAAATAAAGAAAGGTCTTTACTATGAAAATTATATTTCAAAATTTACTTCACTATTTGACGAAAAGTGTTTACTAACTTCAAAATCATTTTAATATAAATTGTTCCAACATAAGCTTCTAGTAACACGTACAAAAACACAAAGAAGTACACCGTAATCAAGTACCCCCTTTTTTTCGAGGTCGGTCAATAAAAACAAACAATCTGTTCCTTATATATCCAACAAGTAGATCTACATTATTTATGCTTTTGTGTGTTAATGTTAGTATTTCATTTTCTTTTGGATTAAATCAAAAACCTTTTTCTAGTCCATACTAATATTATAAATGTGAAAGTGTGTTTGTTTGTTTGTTTGTTTGTTTGTTTGTTTGTTTGTTTGTTTATTTGTTTGTCCTTCTTTCACGTCGAAACGGAATGACGGATTGGAGTGATTTTTTGTGTGAAGAGGGCAGGAGAGTGACATAGGGTACTAGCAATATGTTTGTCGTAAAAGCGTTCCTAAACCATTGATCCAATTAGGATGAAATGTTGGTCTGTCCGATTATGAGGAAATTCTGTTTAAGCCTGCGAAGGTTTTTGGCGCAAAAAAATTTTTTTTTGAAAGTTTGTCTTTTATGTGTCTCTAAATTCCTTCCTGTCTAATTTAGGGGTGCACCTGATCAAAAGCGAGGTTATGTCGCTGTATATACGTCGTATAATATAATCGACATTTCGTATGTTTCTTACTTCTTCACACTGATATGGCTTGTTGTTAGGCACGAGAGTAAAGCTTAAATCGTTTTTATTGAATACTAGCGACTCACCCTCGCTCGCTCGGGTTCGTCCCTAGTTACGTTTAAATAAATAAATAAATATGTTGGGACATTTGAACGTTTAGTATGGATTTCTGAGAGATGTAATATTTTCCCGCACTAAAAACTCCTATATGTTGACCCGTATAACCAGCTATCATCATACCAAATTTCATCAAAATCTGTCCAGTGGTTATCTCGTGATGGGTTGCCTCCCATACAGGTAGATTCGGCCTCTGTATCGATAATAATAAATATTTCAATAAGATTTTCCAAAAAATATTTAATGAGCCTACAGATTTGACTCACAATTTTATTATATGTATAGATAATCATTACATTTTAAATAGCAACTTAATATCGCCCTGTAAGGAACAAAATTGTAGCTTAGTTATGTAGCAATTTGAATTTGCACTTAAAATGTATGAGATATTAATTTCTATTTTTATCTCAATACGAGTTACAATGTTGTTCTTTGCAACTGTCGATACGAGTATGTAAGTGGTACTTCAATTGGCATTATTATGCAGTAATTTAATTAAAGTGGAGCTCAGGCATGTAAAAAATATAAGTATTATATATGTATGTATGTATAGTATTATGTTTTTTCTATAATAAAGAAATTTGGTATATTCATAACGTTTTTAGCTCTTTTGACGGCCCACTGCTGGGCATGTTCCTCTTCAGGCGAGGGGGATCAGGCCACAGTCCACCACGCTGGCCCAGTGCGGGTTGGCGGACATCACGTGTCTTTCGAATACTTGCTACGTTCTTTTAGATATGCAGGTTTCCTCACGATGTTTTCTTTACTGTTAGATTATTTGTGTAATGTCAATATTAAAAAATATATATATTTTGGTAGTAAAGATTTATTTCTATTATGTAATAGTTGAGACTGAAAGGTTCCCTCGGCGTTTTTCGGAAAATACACTAATATACTCATAGATAAACCAAAAGCAAAACCTTATCTATATGTAAATACACAATTTGATCCAAATGGTTAGAGTTGTTTCCGAGAGAAAACAAATTTATATATAAAGCATAAACCGATAATATTAATGTTTCATTTTGCTACTAAGAATAAGATTTCAAAAAGAATAACATTTCGAAAATTACAGGGTAAATAGCTTGTACGTTAAAAAACCTTAGTATAATTCGTCTCCAAATTTTAGAATTACATATATATTAAGTACGTAGTTTATACTTTTTATAATATTTTATCTTCATTTACGAAAATTAATATTTAACTTTTATCGAGATTTGTATATATAAATAGGTAAAGGCAAAACAGGTGCCGTTTTTTCTTTTGTTTCTCAATCGATTATCTTTTTTTTGATTGGTAGTTATTGGAGCTTTAGTGTTATCAATAAAAAATAAAATTGTTTTTTTTTTTAATATAGATAGGAAAATTCTAATCATATGTTATTCTCATTTCAATAACTATTTAATGGTCGAATTTCGACCACTGAGCGAACACTAGTACCAAATAAAAATAAAGTTTAAACAAAATTAGGATAAACAAAGACACTTTCACATTTACAATATTAGTATGGATATGTATTTATTTGAATGTTGAAACAGGTATAATTGGACAACAAATTTAAAATGATAAAATTTAGCTCTTAATACGTAGTTGTAATTTTTTTAATTTGTTTTCTGTTTCTGTACCTAAACAAATAAAATAAAATAACCTACTAAATGTCGGTATTCCACAAACTTTAGAATTTCTAAAAACGATTTTTACATCGCTCCTCCCAGAGGATGCTATCCGACGTCATTCTCAAGTTAAATTGAGGATGTTACGAATTCAAGCATCGGGACTTACTCTTGCAGTGCAAAATTGGATGACATTTTGGATGGGATTTAGAATTTTAACGAATTTGAATCTGATATCATTGGGTTACTATTACAAATGCGAAAGTGTAAATATATTTGTAATGAATAAAATTTGTACATTATGTATACCATCTGTACATACTCGTTCTGTGGGATTCACCGTAACCTATTAAAACTCAACGCAACGTAACCACGACGCCCTGATAGTTAGCATGGCCGGTCCACTCTGCTATCAAGAAGTACCAACTCAACAAGTATGTTTTGGACTCCACGCCCGGCTGGGTTGCCAGACAATAATGATCTCCACACTAGGACAAGGCAGCTGATATCCTGAATGACATATACTATTTGTCGATGTTATTTATGCCTCTATTATTTGCATCATATTTTGTCTGCTTGCTGTGCTTTAATCAAACTAATGAACACATTTTGATGAAATCGTTTCTATTTGATTTTTTTTATTTATTAAATAATTGTGTGATGACATAATTTAACAGATAAATAAGTCTCCCGTGACCACGATTGCTGTAAAGCATTCGAAACGTTGGGAATCCGCGAAAATATCCAAAAAGATACTTTTATTTAAAATGTCAAATATTCGCGTAAATCTAAGAAATTATTGAAGTTTTAAGTCAAATAAGTTTTTCTTTATTTAACTTGATCTAAGCTATCAGTAAGTAGTGTATGTATGTTTTAGTACAATAATATATGTAGTGAAACCACCTACGAGTATATTCTCTCATACGAGCGAGGCTATAAAAATTTCAAGTCTTTCAGCGACCGAGGTGTTTTCTATTTCTTACCATAAAACGGCGAGCATTTGTGAAATTAAAGTACGGCTTAGGGTCTTTTAATGAGCAAAAAAGTGGGTCGGTCTACCGAGGTGGATCAAAATTTTCTTCTTGGGACGTGTTGCGTAGAAAATATATAAAAATAATGCTTTAATCTTCAACTATACTTATAGCTTTACTAGCGACTCACCCTTGCTCTGTTCGGGTTCGTCCCTAGTTACGTTTTAACGCTTAGTATAGATTTCTCAGAGATGAGATATTTTCCGGCAGTAAAAAGTATCCTATATGTTGACCCGGATTACCAGCTATCATCATACTAAATTTCATCAAAATCTGTTCAGTGGTTCAGGTTTTCTCGTGATGCGTTCCAAGACAGACAATCAGACAGACAGACAAAAATTCTAAAAACTATAGAAACAGTATCTCTATGTCGATAATAATGACTAGTTCAATAAGATTTTCAAAAAAAATATTTAATGTGCAGATTCGACTCAGTAATAAATAGACGAAAAAAAAACAACATTTTTTTTGTCATCTACTCCATGACTTTACTGTGCCTTCGGATATCCAATCAATAAAGAATATGATTAATTAAGCCAAAATTTTGTAATTCCATAGTAACTTTAATTAAATTAATGGTTATAATTTTACGAAACTTTACAATCTTTATAAGAATTTTCATGAAAATATATTATTTTTTAATAACTAGAAACGCGCCCTGACTTTATCCAGATATAAAGTGGCTCATTTGATTAGATTGTGTTAGTACGTTGTATCTGTCGTTTCACTAAACGTTACGTATATTGTAGGGGACGCGACCTACCACTAAATGTTTGATAAATTAAATAAAGTTTGAGATCGTTAAACAGTTTATTGATTTAATTATATGCTATACTAATGAGTGATGCTAATTAATTATGCTAAATAAGATGCTAAATGATAATGAATGCAGCCGGTTTCATTGCTGTCCGAACACGCACTACCTTTTTAGGCACTTTTTAGGACCGAACATGCTCCCAGGGGAGGCAAGAAATGATAGTGATACAAACAATGATTATGAGATGAACTAATGATACAAGGTGAAGTCAATATTTGCTTAAATTAACATTTATCAATAAAAATCTTAAACTAAATGATTTACAAATTCTAACGTATTGTTATTAAATTACAAAAGAAGGTATTTTAAAAATAGGAGAGGTCGCTCGATTTTTAAGCTCCACATTAACACTAACACTGGGCTGACGGTCAGCCTTGCTCTGCTTTCGCGACACATACATTTCACTAGCACTTACACTATCACTTACACTACACACACTATTGTTTCTGTATGGAATATTCGGAGTAATAGGCGCGCTTTACCGCCTTTTGCACCGACGCAACGCCACGCTAGGAGCACTGCTGCGATTCCTACCGCCGCCACCAAAACGTAGCATACTATGTACTGGTGGAGGTCGTGATATGATACACCAAGATCGATCAATTGACTATTTTGCTGAATTGACTTTATTTGCAAGCTGAGATCATTAAAGGTCTTATTGATGTTAGAAACATTTAATCCACTTATTGTTTCAATCGGGATTGATATATTTATTAAATGATTAATTTCGTTCACTGTTGGAGTATATATCCGCGGTTGAAGATCAATGGTGTTTGTTAATTGTTGATATGAAATTAAAGTAAAATCATCCCCCTTTATGCTACATCCTGGTTGCAAGTGGATAATACCCGCCTTGCTTATATTTTGGGAGAATACATGCTCGTCGCAAATAATTCTAACTGTGTTACTGTCGCAATAGAAATATAAATAAATTTGCAAATTAAGCTCCGTCCATTTTTGATAACATACAGAACTAGTAATTTTACAGTTTTGTGTTGTTTGATTAATTATGCAAAAATTTTCTTGACTGTTGAGATGAAAAATCATCTGTATGTTGACACATATAGCTTTGATCATTTTTCAGGCACTTCTGCAACTGCAAATCTTCAATCGTACAATAAGTGCCCTTTCTTAAATTGATTGCTGCGTAATCTGATATTGGAGTAACAGTTATCGTATTATGTTCAACCTGTCGCGGGACGGGAATTAATTTGTAAAGTATGTAATGATCCCTGCTTACGAGAGGAAATGATATTTCAAAAATTAAATATTGTTGAGTCATCCTAGCTTTAATTCGTAAAAATTTGTATAAATTATTTGATTCGGTGTGGAAATCGTCCACCGGCAATGTCAAGTCTTCCCGAAGATGACCCGCGATAATATTTAGTTCCTTTTGTAATTGCTCGGGTACACGGGTAATACGAACATATATTATGTAAATTATATGTATACTAATATATATAGTTGAAGAATTTGTTTGTTTATTTGTTTGTACGCGCTAATCTCTGGATTTACTGATCTGATTTGAAAAAAATACTTTTTGCTTCTTCTAGCCTCTTTACTGAAGCCGTAGAAAACGTTGATTTAATAATAAAACGATATTAGTTACTCATACTGAATAAGCTATAATATATTTAGCTGTATAATATATAGCATTTAAAATACCCTTGTTTGTAGGTTACAATGTTGTTAAAATCTAAATTCTAAAGGAAATTCGGGGCTTGAGATACAGATTTTCCTAGTATGAGCTATTATGCACTGGATAACCGACTTTAAAAAAGGCTGATTATGACTCAGTTTTCTTCATTTTTTTAATGAATCGAGTAAGGTCTTATATAAATCGGGTGGTCTTATAAAAATTCAAAAAAAAACGCCCATACAGTTTAGTAGGTACTTTTTTTATAAGCGAAAAATTCTTTCTGTTTGGTTTGATATTTTATAGTGTTGTTTGTAACCAAAGCATTGTCAAATAAAATTCAATTATAATATGATAATTTACATTTCAGAAAAGCCATGGCGGGACACTAATTGAATGAATTATAAAGTATTAAAAATTAAATATTTATTGAATATTGCTCGGTATGCTTAAACACAACAAAAGAAAGTTTTTTAATTACTTTTTATGGTCGGGTATCGTTGAAGATTCAAAGGCTGTAAATACCTTTCATATTACCTGCAATCAACGTAATCCCTAATTTAGGTCTGAAACAACCTAAGCGCTTATCTTTTGAAAAAAGTTCACGTTTCCAAATATTGATCATGTAATTTATTACTGTCATTATTTATGTCGAGATTATTTGACTTAGCTGTTTTAATTTAGAAGCCTGTTGTTCTCTTTAATTATAATTAAAAATTAATTTAGTAGCTTAAGCCAAATAATTAATTATCTAATCAAAGGTTTCAGAGTAATATTAAGACAAACGTACAAACATATAAATGATACATACTCGTGTGTAGATTTATAACAATATTTTGTTTTGTATGGAAACCCTAATAAAGGTATATGAATGCACTGCAATTTTAATAATATTACGGAATTGATAACCTCTTCTAGGTTTTTACCTTTTCTTGAAGTCGGATAAAAATGGGAAAGCTAAGTCTAATATCTTTTAGCACGCTTTCATTAGGTTTTCTTTTAATTAACAATGTAATAAAATCTTGAAGTCAATTTTGTATGTATATTTAGTTTGGATGACAAAACTATAATTTGGTTAAATGGCTACTAGTAAGCCACTTAAGTATGGGCTCATATCATTTGTTTTGATAAGTCCCTTACATTTCAATTCGATTAAAGCGTATTTTTATAGTTTTTTTAAACTATATTTATTCGTCTTTGCTTTTGATACATTTTGAGTGGTAATTCTATTGAACTTGAATTCTTAGATTTATCTTGAACAGTAATCAAATCTACGACCTTAAACTGAGAAAGCACATAAGCTATCCTAGCACCCTCACGTTTGACAATTCCATTTATTATATATAGAAATGCAATAGTGTATTGTATTCTGGCGTAGACATAAAGCAAGTTATTCCGATATTTTCAAGCTTTTAAATCTTTTACAATTCAGTTCACGTTCAGTGGAAAACGTAAAACCTATATAACGTGGAAAAATTGTCATATGCACTCGCTTAAATCCTACTTTAATCTATTTTGTAATATGTGACTTGAGCTAGTACGAGTACTATGTATTGAGTACATTTTATATTGGCATTGCCCGCGGCTCCGTCCGCGTTCAGATGACCAAAACCAAATTCTTAGGTTTTACGTATTAGTTATACTCTTACATTGCACTTTTTGTATTTTTTCTCAGAAATGAGATATTTTTCCGCAGTAAAAAGTATCCTATATGTTGACCCGGTTACCAAATTTCATCAAAAACCCTCCAGTGGTTTTTCTGTGATGCGGTAACAGACAGACAGACAAAAATTCTAAAAATTCGGATTCGGCCTCTGTATCGATAATAATGTTTATTTTAATAACATTTTCCAAAAAATATTTAATGTACAGATTCGGTTTAGTTACAATTTTATTATATGTATAGATTTGGTTTGTACTTAAAAAGAAAATATATTCATTTTTAATCAATAATGATTATATCAATATATTTAATACTTATTTTGTTTTTAAAATCGCTTTGAAAGTGAAAACAATATTCGTAATAAGTAGTTTTTTTTAATAAAATGTATCTGGAATTACCTTTTGATGACACGTTTGACTCAGTTTGTAGTGACCCTAATTGTTGTTTACTTCACGGGTTCGAGTCCCGTTCGGGCCTTCATTTGCGTGATAAGCACGAATGTTTGTACTCCAGTCATTATTTATAATATGTATGTATTTAAAGTTATATATATATATATATATATATATATAACATATTATACGTATATATATATAATTATATATATATATATATATATATATATATATATATATATATATATATATATATATATATATGATGATGTTCTCCTAGCCGATTCCGGCCACGGCGGCCAATCTCAATGAGATTAGCCAACTGCGCAGGAGATATTATAGTGCTCAAGTGTACGCGCAGACACAAGTGCACTCTCTATTCCTATCACTCTCATACTCCGGTGGGACGACCACTCGACACGACCGGTGAGAGTTAAGGCGCAGGACCGACGGCTTTACGTGCTCTCCGAGGCACGGGGTGAAACACCGCCAACTTCCCAACTCCGGGCTGTTACTGAGACTTACTATACAGGAAGACTCAATAACTAAACTTGGCCCGACCCGGGACTCGAACCCAGGACCTCCGGGTGTGCAGCCGTACATGCTAGCCACTACACCACCGAGGCAGTTAAATCGTATTTTTATAGTTTTTTATATATATATGTAGTGTATCAACTATCTGGGATCCATAACAGAGACCTCGTAGCTTACCATGGAACTAGATGGTGATGTGTGTTAATATTCCGACATAGGTATTTAATTTATTTTTATATCTCTTTTAGGTATGATTCGTTAGTAATTTCGTGTAAAAACACATTTTGTGTTACACATACAAAAGGCGTAATTATTTAAACCGGTCAAAAATAGAACTGGCTTTTCTACCGTGCTACCTTTTACGTGAAAAGCTGACTTTTAGCCACTCCACTGTGTAGAGTTAAAGCTTGATAAAGTTGTAAGCGTCAGTTGGTCATATCACTGGCTTGTATGCTCAGTTCCATTGAATTATTCATTAGCCACACTTGACCAACTCTGATGTAATGTAACTAAAACTGGTATATATTATAATAATTTTGTAATTTTCTGGGACGCGTTTAATTCAAATGCACACCCCTTTCTAAAGTATTTTCTGTTTTAGTTGTCAAATAATATATTAAAATAATATTTAATATTCTTAATTATGTAAAGCTTTTTTAGATATTATTTTGAGAATAAAAAGTAGCATATGTATTATTTTGATGTAAGAGCCTTATTATGGTAAAGTTTCATTAAAATATATTCAGTAGTGTTGTGTGAAAGAGTAACAAACATCCATACATACAGACATCCATACATCCTCACAAACTTTCGCATTTATAATATTAGTATGGATGAATTTGATAAATTCAATCAATGTCTATTTCGTATTTATATTTTTTTTTGTAAAAAAAAAACAATTACGTTTTTATTATTAATTTCGAAAAAAAAATATAAAATGTCATGTTGACTTATTATTTTTTAAATTAAATTTGATATGTAGTGACGCTGCCATTATTTTTGTGGGAGTTGGGACCCTTAGCTTTCATTCTGGTCACGATACATTAAACCCAACGTATAAATAACATTCATTTACAACTGTGCCCAACATTTCTTCTAAATTGTGAACAGGTTTATTGCGTTAGTAACTCGATATTTACAGCCGAAAATAAACATTTGTAATATCGTAAAATAAATGAAGTGTTAGAATATATGAAAACGTAATTTTATGTACCTACATACGTATGTATTTTGTTTATATAGATATACTAGCATTGCCCGCGGCTCCGCCCGCGTTCTGATGACGAAAAACCAAATTCTTACGAAATAATTCGAAAAGATAGTTTTATTTAAAACTAGCAGAACCCGCGGCTTTGTTCGCGCTAAAACTACAGAAATATCTCTAAAGAGTTAGTTTTATACAAACCTTTATCCCCTATTTTACCCTCTTATAGGATGAATTTTGAAAAATGCTAAAACATGTATTTATTAATTTTATTCAAGAATATTATTAATAACATACCAAGTTTCAAGTAATTCTGATCATAAATATTTTTTTGGATTGTATTTTTCCGCGGTAAAAAGTATCCTATATGTTGACCCGGATAGCCAGCTATCATCATACCAAATTTAACCAAACTCTGTCCAGTGGTTTTCTCGTGATGTGGAAACAGACAGACAGACAAAAATTCTGAAAGCTATAGATTCGGACTCTGTATCGATAATAATGTCTATTTCAATTAGATTTTCCAAAAAAAAATATTTAATGTACAGATTCAACTTAGTTACAATTTTATTAATTATGTATAGATAAACAAATACGTGAGATAGCACCATTTAGTTCCATGGTAAGCTACGAGGCTTGTGTTAT